AGCAATGGAAACCTGAGAGTGTTGCTAACCCTTTCCAACTCAATCCTTTAACCACCTGCCCTCCTGAGGATTTACCCTCCTTCCTGACCAGGCCATTTTTTGCTATTTTGGTAGTCTTTTTCTCAAAATTGTCGGTCTTTTTTTTTAGCGCAAAAAATAAAAACCGCACAGGTGATCAAATACCACCGAAAAAAAGTTCAATTCACGGGAAAAAAAGAACGTAAATTTAATTTGGGTGCAGCGTTGCACGACCACTCAATTATCAGTTAAAGTAACGCAGCGCCGTAACGCAAAAAATGGCCTGGTCAGGAAATGGGGTAAATCCTCAGGAGGGCAAGTGGTTAAAACGCATTGGTTGTGCGATCTGCTGCAGGTTGGAGCAAAGAGAAATAAGAGCATACACTGAAGCTGCCTGGTTCTATGACCCCCAAACAGGCTTCAGCTTTGTCTCCCCCTAGCCCACAAGGAAGAAAAATATATTTGAAATATATATTTTTAAATATTCTTCCCAAATATGTTGACATATTTGAAATGCTACAATTCTGGCCATTTTCAATATTTTTCTAAATATATTTATATATATACTATGCGTGTTGAAATGTGTTTTTTATAAAACTATATGAAAAATATTTTTATAAATACATTTTAAATATACTTCATGTCTTTAAAAATACAAATCTACATTTTTGGAATTATATATATATATATATATATATATATATATATATATATATATATATACTGCATTTTTGCAGCATTTGCGTTTTTTATATATTACAAAAAAATATTAAAAATGTTTTTTAAAATTTTTTTTTTAATATATTCTTCATTTTTTTTTTTTTACATATAAGAGTCATTTTAAGATATATTTTTACATATATTTGTAAATACATTCCAAAAATTTTAATTTATATTTTTAAAGACATACAGTATATTTGAAATGTATTTTCAAAAATATTTTTCAGATATTTTGTAATAAAAATGCATTTCAACATGCAGTATATATATATATATAATATATATATATATAAATATATATATATATATATATATATATATATATATATATATATATATATATATTAGAATATATTTTGAAATTTATTGAATATGGCCAAAATTGTAGCATTTCAAATGTGTGTCAATATATTTGGGAAGAATATTTTTAAAATATGTTTGAAATATATTTTTCTTCCCTGTAGGAGACCATGCTCCTCTAGTGCGTTTCACCCACTACAGACCTCTATGACTAAGCCCAGGAGTGAGTGAAACATGTTAGAGGGCATGGCTAGGAGGAGGAAAAGCAAAAGCCTGTTTGGAAGTCTTAGAATCGTGTAGCTTTGGTGTGCACTCATATTTCTTTTTTTGTCTATTCAATTGGGTGAGACGGCACCTCTGGGTCTACTTCTGTATGTGTGAAATCATTGGACTGTAAACATCTGAGCTTTGAGCGGAGCATTTGTTCTGCATGGGATCTGTTGCGGGTGTCAATATAGTCCTAACAACACCCCCAAACATAGAGTGCAAATGCCACGCGTTTGCTGCACCAGATCACATGGTACCAGTGTGTTTTTGAAAATTAGTCCATGCACTACTGTTGGTGAAATCCAGTGAGATTTCAGCCTATTCAAATGAATGGGCTGAAAATTGCACCACCCTAGGTGCACAGGAATAGGGGAAAAAAACTGGAGAAACTTCCAGAAGGCCAGAAGGTTTTTAGTCCCCCCTTTTGGTATGAGGTTGAAGAAAAACTGTTAAAAGTGTCAAGCCCCCAGATAGATATTCATATAATGGGGACGTTTCTAGAAAATGGGAGTTTTAAACCTCCCATTGCACCTGGGGCGCATGGGGAATACCTGGAAGGCAAATTAACCAATCAAAAGAAAATCAAAGATAGTGTCATGCTCCACTGCTCCAGTAACAGCAGTAAGAATGTTATGAAATAGTTGAATTAAATATATTATAGTCCAACATCAAATTAAATGTGACAAACGCAATCACGCTGCTGCTGCTGCTGCTGCTGCTGCTGCAAAAGTGTCCTTAATTAATCCATGACTTTTGACATTCCTTCTAGTAGTGTGATACAAAGTAGGTAGTGTGCAGTCCACCAATCATACAAATAGAGTACGCCTTCACCGACTGTGCTCTCACCTGGCGTATATGACCAAATCGTTGAGTGAGGTCATAAAGGCTTATGTTCGTTTAACTGGACTTAGGGGTAAATTAATGAGATTACCCCTCTTTCCTGGAGATGGATGGATGGAGTTATCCCTCTTCCCAGTAGGGGGTCTCCTCGCTTCCTTAGGAATTTTTCTGGGGGTGGATGGATGAAGTTATCCCTCTTCACAGTAGGGGGTCTCCTCGCTTCTATAGGAACTTTCCTGGTGGTGGATGGATGGAGTTATCCCTCTTCACAGTAGGGGGTCTCCTCGTTTCCTTAGAAATTTTCCTGCTGGTGGATGGAGTTATCCCTTTTCCCAGTAGAGGGTCTCCTCGCTTCCTTAGGAATTTTCCTAGGGGTGGATGGATGGAGTTATCCCTCTTCCCACTAGTGGGTCTTCTCGCTTTCTTAGGAATTTTCCTGGGGGTAGATGGATGGATGGAGTTATCCCTCTATGCACTGGGGGGTCTCTTCGCTTCCTCAGGAATTTTCCTGGGGGTGGATGGATGGAGTTATTCCTCTTCCCAGTAGGGGGTCTCCTCACTTCCTTAGGAATTTTCCTGCTCGTGGATGGATGGAGTTATCCCTCTTCCCAGTAGAGGGTCTCCTCGCTTCCTTAGGAGTTTTCCTGGGGGTGGATGGATGGATGGAGTTATCCCTCTTCCCACTAGGGGTCTCCTCACTTCCTTAGGAATTTTCCTGGGGGTGGATGGATGGAGTTATCCCTCTTCCCAGTAAGGGGTCTCCTCGCTTCCTTAGGAATTTTCCTCGGGGTGGATGGGATGGATGGGGTTATCCCTCTTCCCAGTAGGGGGTCTCCTCGCTTCCTTAGGAATTTTCCTGGGAATGGATGGATGGAGTTATCCCTCTTCCCACTAGGAGGGTCTCCTCGCTTCCTTAGGAATTTTCCTGTGGGGTGGATGGATGGATGGAGTTATCCCTCTTCCCACTAAGGGGGGTCTCCTCGCTTCCTTAGGAATTTTTCTGGGGGTGGATGGATGAAGTTATCCCTCTTCCCAGTAGGGGGTCTCCTCGCTTCCTTAGGAATTTTCCTGGGAATGGATGGATGGAGTTATCCCTCTTCCCACTAGGAGGGTCTCCTCGCTTCCTTAGGAATTTTTCTGGGGGTGGATGGATGAAGTTATCCCTCTTCACAGTAGGGGGTCTCCTCGCTTCTATAGGAACTTTCCTGGTGGTGGATGGATGGAGTTATCCCTCTTCACAGTAGGGGGTCTCCTCGTTTCCTTAGAAATTTTCCTGCTGGTGGATGGAGTTATCCCTTTTCCCAGTAGAGGGTCTCCTCGCTTCCTTAGGAATTTTCCTAGGGGTGGGATGGATGGAGTTATCCCTCTTCCCACTAGTGGGTCTTCTCGCTTTCTTAGGAATTTTCCTGGGGGTAGATGGATGGATGGAGTTATCCCTCTATGCACTGGGGGGTCTCTTCGCTTCCTCAGGAATTTTCCTGGGGGTGGATGGATGGAGTTATCCCTCTTCCCAGTAGGGGGTCTCCTCACTTCCTTAGGAATTTTCCTGCTCGTGGATGGATGGATGTTATCCCTCTTCCCAGTAGAGGGTCTCCTCGCTTCCTTAGGAGTTTTCCTGGGGGTGGATGGATGGATGGAGTTATCCCTCTTCCCACTAGGGGTCTCCTCACTTCCTTAGGAATTTTCCTGGGGGTGGTTGGATGGAGTTATCCCTCTTCCCAGTAAGGGGTCTCCTCGCTTCCTTAGGAATTTTCCTCGGGGTGGATGGATGGATGGGGTTATCCCTCTTCCCAGTAGGGGTCTCCTCGCTTCCTTAGGAATTTTCCTGGGAATGGATGGATGGAGTTATCCCTCTTCCCACTAGGAGGGTCTCCTCGCTTCCTTAGGAATTTTCCTGTGGGTGGATGGATGGATGGAGTTATCCCTCTTCCCACTAAGGGGGGGTCTCCTCGCTTTCTTAGGAATTTTCCTGGGAATGGATGGATGGAGTTATCCCTCTTCCCACTAGGAGGGTCTCCTCGCTTCCTTAGGAATTTTCCTGTGGGTGGATGGATGGATGGATGGAGTTATATCCCTCTTCCCACTAGGGGGGTCTCCTCGCTTTCTTAGGAATTTTCCTTGGGCTGGATGGATGGAGTTATCCCTCTTCCCACTGGGGGGGTCTCCTTGCTTTCTTAGGAATTTTCCTCCATAGGTATAAGTTGAAAGGTAATAAATAATATAGTGCCTTATTATCTTTTTAAAATTATTTTTTAAATAAAGCATGCATCACATCTATTACAGATTAAAATCACTTTAAAGTGTTGAAAATTAAATCCAAAGTGGGTTTTCTGAAACTGCAGTATACTTGCTGTGTGTTGCCTTTAAGCGTTGTGACGTCAGAGCCCTTCCACTATGCGTTATGCCACCGGGTCATGTGGCTTCATCAGGGGGAAAATGAGGACTAGGAGAGATGAGAGGGCTATAAAAGGGGGTTCTGGTCATAGGGGAGAAGACGCCCCTCCCACACGCCCTCTTTTGCCATTGCAGCCAATAACATTATTTAAATTTTTTATGTTTACTTCCCCTCCCCCAAAAAAAAATTCAGTTTGTTGTTCAACTGAGTTGTACAGTTTATAGGTCACATTAACCACGTCCCGCCCGCCAGCCATATTGTAATATGATGGACGCAATGTGGTTCTCTCGTTCTGGGAGGACGTCATAAGATATCTTCCCATTCTCACCGCGCATGCGCAACTCAGGGAACACGCAGAGCGGCGATTGGCGGTGCGCTGTGTCCCTTGGACACAGTGGTTCACAGATCCATGTAAAGAGCCGAAGATGTTGGCTCGGTCATGTAATCAGCTGTGTCCAATCACAGCTGATCACATGTAAACAGGGAAATGCCAGTTGTCGGCATTTCTCTGCTCTCGAGCTGTCACGCTGACAGCTTGTGAGGAGAGGAGAGCCGGTAATCGGCATTCCACGGAGGGGACATCTACACTGATCATCAGGGCACTGATGATCAGTGTGCCCTGATGATCAGTGTAGCCCCAGCAGTGCCACCTGTCAGTGTCCATCAGTGCCTTGTGTCAGTGCTCATCAGTGCCTTGTGCCAGTGCCCATCAGTGCCACATAAATGCCACATATCAGTGCCCCGTGCCAGTGCACATCAATGCCACATATCAGTGCCCATCTGAGCTGCCTTTCAGTGTCACCCATCAGTGCCAGTCAGTGCCACCTATCAATGCCAATCAGTGCCACCTATCAGTGCCACCTATCAGTACCAGTCAGTGCCGCCTATCAGTGCGCATCAGTGCCGCCTAACAGTGCCAGTCAGTGCCACCTAACAGTGCCGCCTATCAGTGCCATGTATCAATGCTGCCTTTCAGTGCCCATCAGTGATGCCTGTCAATGCCCATTAGTGCCACATACCAGTGCCTCCTCATCAGTGCCCATCAGTGCCACCTATCAGTGTCCATCAGTGCAGCCTATCAGTGCCCATCACTGCAGCCTCATTAGTGCACATCAGTGAAGGAGAAAAATCACTTATTTACAAAATTTTATAACAAAAACTAAGAAAAAATGATTTAAAAAAAAAAAATTTCAGTGGTTTTTGGTTTAAGAAAAAATAAAAAACCCAGAGGTGATTAAATACCACCAAAATAAAGCTCTGTCACAAAAAAATGATAAAAATTTCATATGGGTACAGTGTTGCATGACCGCGCAATTGTCACTCAAAGTATGACAGCGCTGAAAGCTAGAAATTGGCCTGGGCAGGAAGGGGGTATAAGTGCCCTGTAGGCTAGTGGTTAAAGGTGGAAAAGGTTCTGAATTGATTTCTCTTTGTCTCATTTTTTTACAACACAGAAACCTGACATTTTAACAGGGTGTGTAGACTTTTTATATCCACTGTATATGTGGCCCTGTTAAAACTGCTTATGGTAAGGTAGCTAGTGGGCAACAGTAAGATCCTGATGCATACTTGCGATCGGGAGCTTCCCGATCATGTGACCACTGTGACAGCCAATCACAGTGATTACAGTACTCGAATGCCCGGCTCCTGGCTTTTAGAACCCTTAAAGGGCCAGGAGGCAGTCGGCACCATTATTACATTACATTGAGTTTATATAGCGCCAAAGGGTTTGCTCAGCGCTGTACAATAGAGGGGGGGACAATACATGAAACATTACAGCAACTACAAACAGCACACGAGGGGTTATAGGGCCCTACTCTTTCGAGCTTACAATCTAGGAGGGAGGGGGTAGTGGTACAGGAGAAAGTGGCTGTGGGGGATGGAGTGGTAGGAGGAATGAAGGAGAGCAGCAGTTAGGTGAGGGTGGGGTAGGCTTCCCTGAAGAGGTGGGTTTTCAGGGAGCGCCTGAAGGTGAGGAGGGAAGGTGACAGTCTGATGGATTGGGGTAGTGAGTTCCAGAGGATGGGGGAGGACCTGGAGCAGTCTTGCAGACGTGCGTGTGAGGAGGAGACCAGGGAGCAAGATAGAAGGAGGTCCTGTGAAGAGAGAAGGGTACGGGTAGGGTGGTACTTGGGAATCAGGTTGGTGAGGTAGTTAGGGGCAGTGTTTGTGAATGGCTTTGTAGGTCAGAGTGAGTAGTTTGAATTTGATGCGTTGGGCGATAGGGAGCCAGTGGAGGGAGAGGCAGAGGGGGGTGGCAGAGGTGGAGCGGGTGGTGAGGTGGATGAGTCTAGCCGCTGAGTTGAGGATGGTCTGAAGCGGGGAGAGCCTGCACTGGGGTAGGCCGGTGAGGAGGGAGTTGCAGTAGTCAAGGCGTGAGATAATCAGGGAGTGCACAAGTAGTTTAGTGGTGTCTGGGGTAAGGAAGGAGCGTATTTTGGCGATATTGCGGAGGTGGAGTCTGCATGTGTTTGTAAGTGATTTGACATGAGGTTGGAAGGAGAGGTTAGAGTCCAGAATGACTCCAAGGACTTTGGCTTGCGGGGCGGGATTGATGGTGGTGATGTTAGTAGTGATGGATAGGATGGGGGGGGGGGCGCGGGCAGGAGGGAAGACGAGAAGCTCTCGTTTTGGAGAGGTTGAGTTTGAGGAAATGGAGCGACATCCAGTCAGAGATGTCGTTTAGGAGGTGAGTGATGCGGGCGGAGAAAGTGGAGGTGAGGTGAGGGGTGGAGAGGTAAATTTGAGTGTCATCAGCATAGAGATGGTAGTTGAAGCCGTGGGAGTGTATGAGTTTGCCAAGGGAGGAGGTGTAGATGGAGAAGAGAAGGGGTCCAAGGACAGAGCCCTGGGGGACCCCAACAGAGAGGGGGAGTGAGGGGGAGGTGGGGAGGTGGCACCATTGTAGGTGACACTGAAGGAGCGTCGGGATAGGTACGAGGAGAACCAGGAGAGAGCGGTGTCTCTGATGCCAAGGGAGAGTAGTTTATTAAGGAGGAGGGGGTGGTCAACTGTGTCGAAGGCCGCGGAGAGGTCCAGGAGGAGGAGGACAGAGTAGTCGCCTTTGGCTTGTGGCGGTTAGTAGGTCGTTGGTGATTTTGAGGAGGGCGGTTTCGGTGGAGTGTAGGGGACGGAAGCCGGACTGTAGTGGATCAAGGAGGTTGTTGTCAGTTAGGTGGGCGCTTAGGCGGTTGTAGACTAAGCGCTCCAGGAGTTTGGAAGTGAGTGGCAGCAGGGAGATGGGTCTGAGGTTGTTTGGGTCAGAGGTGTCCAGGGAGGGCTTTTTGAGTATGGGGGTGATGTGCGCATGCTTTAGGGGGGAGGGGAATACGCTGGTAAAGAGGGAGAGATTGAAGATGTGGGTGAGGGAGCAGATGAGGGAAGAGGGGGGTGACTGGAGGAGTCGAGAGGGGATAGGGTCCAGGGGGCAGGTAGTGAGGCGGGCTTCTGAGAAGACCCTGGTGACTTCCTCAGTGGTAGTAGGGCTGAAGGAGTGCAGAGCTGGTGGGGTTACGGTAAGCGGGGTCTTGGGTGTGGGGGGGGGGCAGTGCGGTTGCGAGGTCAGAGGAGGGAAGAGATGAGGGGGAGATAGGGGGGGGAGGCTAGGTGGGGAGGTAGATTGCGAGTTGACTATGTCCTGACGGATTGCATCAATTTTGTTGTGGAAATGAGTGTCAATTTCGTGGGCGGTGAGTGAGGTACTGAGTGGAGGAGGGGGGGGGGGGGAGAGCAGGGAGTTGAAGGTGGAGAAGAGTCGGCGAGGGCAGGAGGAGAGGGTGTTAATCAGGTTTACGAAGTAAGCCTGCTTGGCGGCGTGGAGGGAGGAGGTGTAAGTGAGGAAGGCAGATTTGTAGAGGGAGAATGAACGGGGGGACCTGGTTTTGCTCGTGAGTCGTTGTACGTGTTAGTGGCTAGGTCAGGACAAGACAGTGGAAGGATGCTGTCGTGTAGGCGGTCGGCAGCTGAGTGGAGGGGGGGCCGGGTTCAGGTTGCGGAGGTTGCGGCTGGTGATGGTTTGGCGCTCTGGGGGGGGGGAGTTAGGGGAAGGGGAGATGGAGAACGTGAGGAGGTGGTTGTCGGAGAGAGGGGGGGGGGGGTGTTAGAGAACTGGTTGAGGGTACAGAGGTGGGAGAAGACGAGGTCCAGGGTGTTCCCAATGATGTGGGTGGAGGATTGAGTGTGCTGTGTGAGCGCGAAGGAGGAGGTTAGGTGGAGGAGTTGGGAAGTAGCCAGGCTGTTGTTATTGATGGGGATATTGAAGTCCCCGAGGATGATGGTTGGTAGAGAGGAGAGGAAGAAGGGAAGCCAGGCAGCAAAGTCATCCACGAAGCGGGGTATGGATCCGGGCGGCCTGTAGATCACTGCGATCCTTAGGGGGGTGGGGGTGAAGAGCCGGATACAGTGAGTCTCGAAGGAGGAGAAGGTTAGGGAGGGAGGATTAGGGAGGACCTGGAAGGTGCTCAGCGGTGATAGGAGCAGGCCGACCCCACCACCTTTGTGACCCGCTCAGTCTTGGTGAATGGGACCAGACGAGACCTCCATAGGAGAGTGCCGCAGGGGAGGGTGGAGTCAGTAGGCCTGTACCCAGGTTTCGGCGATGGCTAGGAGGTTAAGGGAGCGGGAGATAAAGAGGTCATGGATGGCAGTAAGTTTGTTGCAGACCGAGCGGGCGTTCAGGAGTGCAACCGAGAGAGGGGGGATGGATGCGGGGAGAAGGGGCACAGATATGAGGTTGAGAGGGTTACGGCAGCTGGCGGGAGCAGGGGGGTCCCTAGAGGAGGGGTGAGGTGGCGAGGGGCCAGGGTTCGGGGAGATGTCCCCAGCAGATAGGAGAAGGGTGAGGAAGGTGGCATGGGGATGGGAAGTGTAGGAGCGTGTGGGTCTGATAGTGGTGGCACGTGGGTCGACGGGGGAGTGGAGTAGCAGGAGGAGGTGGTGAGTGCCGTAGTGGGGAGAGGGGAGAAGTGAAGGGGCAATGTAGAGCTGTTTTGGGGGGGTAGGCGGGTAGAGGGAGGTGATTTTTGGGATGGTGGAGAGGAAAATGAGGAGGAGGAGTGCAGGAGGCATGTTGGGGTGGGTGGGGTGACAGTTGGGTCAGGGGAGGTGAAGGGATACAGGTCAGGGCAAGGTGGTGTGGGGAATCTGTATTACCGTGGGAGAGTCATTTGAGTCCTTCTGTAGGGGTAGAGTGAGGGTGGAGGGCGGCAGCTGGTTGGCAGCAGTCTGTGGGTGCAGTAAGCTGGCGACCATGGGTGCTGTGGCATGTCTTCAGTGGGTACGGTGGTTCGGCTAGTGGAGGGGGTCGTAGGGTGCGATGGCTGGGGGCGATGGTAGGCACGGCGACTGGTGATGCTGGCGGCTCGGTGACTGGGGTTGTTGAGGCCAGGCGTCGGGTGCTGAGGGCTCGGCGTCGTGAGGCGCTGAAGGTGTTGAAGGATCGTCATCAGGGTCGAGCGGGGCGTTGCGGTAGCGATCGTCGGCCCTGCGTGGTTTGTGCTCAACCGTGATCTGTTGCGGCCGGTAGGAGAGACCGCGGCTTCAAGGGTCGTGGTGGGCTATTAGTCGCCGGGGCATCGCCAGAGGGAATAGCGTGCCGGAAAGCAGGGTGCTGGGCGAGCGGTCCCTGGTGTGGTGGCTGGCTGGTAGTCCCAGGTGGGGTGGTGGGCACACGATGAGACACACGATGAGAATATCGAAAATGAAGAGTATACTAAAGTTACGATAATTCTCACATTTAATGTATTCTTAATTATGTATTGTAATGTATTTTTTCAATATGGAGCATGCATGGGTCTCGGTCGCGCTCAATTTTTTTTGGAGGAATACTATACTGATTAAACGAAAATCGTTCGTTCTAGTATCGTACAAGAAACATTTTAGTGCTTGTCCCTCTGTTTAATATCGCATGAATGAACTCTTGAAAGCTGTGTACTAATGATCAGATTATCCCACTAACGATCCGAAAGCAGTATTTTTACATCCGATTTTCTTAT